GTGTGTGCGTCTGACTCTACTGAGAAAGTTCAGGAAGTTTGGCTTTCCTGATAGGAAAGGGCATCTCCTGGTTTCAGATGAGCGAGGCAGGTTTACCATAGCAGTTTTCAGGTGATGGGGCCAACCATGGCCTGAAGGCCCTCTTGGGGAGGATAGCAAGCTTTGAGTACCCACCTGCTGGTGGATGAGGGACCATTAGGGGGTCTGGGGATGAGGAGTTGTGAAGGCACCTGTGAGCAAGGTGGTTAGGGAGAGAGGGAGAAATTGATGCCACTTGTTTAGTGTGAACTCTCAGAGATAACAGGTGGTAACAGGAAAATGAGGAATGGACCATGATGTCGATAATAAGGCATAACATTGAATAATGGCTGAGCCGCCCCTGGTCCCTCAAGGTGGGAGTCACAGGGGCAGGGGAAGGGCAGCCTGTGATCTGGGGGCTGCAGGCTGAGGAGGCAAAGAGTTCGGAGAAATGCCCCGGATGTGGAGGCCCCAGGGGTGGACAGGTGTGGCCAGGCGAGGGGAGAGGGCCACATCCTCACCTGTGATCCACACCCTTAGGGTCTGCGTGGCAGTGTCCTTCCCGCACTCCTCTGCTGCGTCCCATCAGCTTTTCTCTATTCATGGCTCTTTGTCTCCCATTTTCATCCCCCCCCCCAGTTCTGTCTTGTGTCCCTTCCTTCTGCTTACCTGTGTGTGTGTATGTGTGTGTGTGTGTGTTTCCACCTCTCTCATCCCCCCTCTGTCTCTCTGTCTCTCCATCTCTGTCTCTCTGTCTCTCATCTCTGTCTCTTTTTCATCTCTCTGTCTCTTTGTGTGTGTCTCTCTCATCTCTCTCCCTCTCCCTCTCTCTCTCTCATCTCTCCATCCATCTCTCTGCCTCTCTCAGCTCCGTTCCCCCCACTTGCCCTGCCCTGACCACCCCTGTCAGCCCCTCTGACTCCAGTCCAGTCCAGCACCTCAGCCCCTAAGCTCAGCCTCTCAGAGCCCCTTCTTGCCGAGGGTGTGTCAGCCCCTCCACCCTCGCCCTCACCCCACGTCTCTGACTCAAGGGCCGTGGGCCTCAGGACCAGAGCACAGAGGGGGGACTGTTCATGACACACAAGTGCATGAATAAGTACCACAAGACCCAGTGGGTAGAGTGTGCCCCAAGGCTCATTTGGGGCTCCTAGCCCCCTGTCACTGTGTTTGTACTCATGCTGGGTTTGGGAAAGTAGCTAATAGGTTTAGCTAACTAGGAAAGTGCTAGAGGTATGGACAGTTAGGTAAGCGGGGCAGAAGGAAGACGTGGAAGGGGACATTGGCGTCCCCAGATCCCTTCCCTTCCAGCGGTCAGAATGTGAGCCCAGGTCTTCCTGCCTCCTGTCCCTTTCTCCTGTGCACCTCGTTCTCTCCTTGTGCTGTCTGCTTCTCCCTCCCGGGTTTTCCTCCCCTCTGTCTTTGTGACACACACACACACACACACACACATACATGCACATACACACACATAAACACACACATAGTCACATAACCATATACATACACACTCATACACACACACACAAATACACGCACACACACACACACCACTTTACTCGCAATCGTGCCGTGGTTACTGCATTGCACACCGCTGCCGTCTCCTCCCCACCTCCTACCCACACCATTTCACCCCTTCCCTCCACCTTTTATTTCCATGGAGGAGAGTGTCCGCATAAGGCAAGACAAAACAAGGAGAGAGAGAGAAAGGGGAGAGGTAAGGAGGAGTAAAACAAAGAGGAGGAACTTAGATCATAAGCGATTCAATCCTTGCTGGAAGCAGAGGCGAACTCCGCCGTAGCTGGTTTTCCTGGACACGCACTAAGGCCAGGGTTCAGCTCTGCCCGCGTCTGTGGTGACGGGGGCTTGATGCACAAGGATGTCGAGGGCCGCGCATGCCTGATGGAGGTGACTGCAGAGTTCAAAGCAAAAAAGATCCTTGAACGCCTACTGGGTCACTGCTGCTTTCACGTGCATGGGACACCTCCAGAGGGTCCTGGCAGATTAGCTTCAGGGCGTGTTGCTCCACAGAGATGGAGAGGGTCCAGCGGCCAGGGGTGGGTCAGCTGGGAGGGCTGGATGGTGAGGAACCAAGACACCTGCTCCCTGCGGATTCAGATGCCTTCGAAGAGGCTCCTGCTCCCTCCGGAGGGAGACTCCAGGAAAACCACCTCCAACCTAGTCCTGAGGGGGTCTTTGGGGGCCAGCTGGACAGGTATCTGCTTCCCAGGGAGCAGAGGAACTGGGGGAAGAGCGGCAGCCTTGGCTTCTGTAGTGGGGGAAGGGTGGGTGACAGGTCAGAACACAGGGTGGGAACCCCGCAAACCACAACCGTGTTGGGTGCAGTTACTGGTCTCTCAAGAGAAATTCCCTCCTTTCCTGTGAGTGACATAAGCAGGGACTGTTCCCATACAGTAGAAGTGTTCAAAGAGGCTCCAAGTGAGGTCCTCCCAGGCAAGAAGAAAGGACATCTGTATGAGTGTCCCGTGGCTGGCATAACAAAGGGCCACAAACTGGGGGGCTCCAAACAACACGGATTTATTCTCTCACAGTTCTAAGGGCAGAATTCCAAAATCCTGTGTCGGCAGGGCTGTGCTCCCTCCAGTGCTTCCTCTCTAAGAAAGAATCCCTTCCCCACCTCCTCCAGCTCCTGGTGGCTCCAGGTCCTCCTTGCCTTGTGGCTGCGTCTCCCCACCCTCTCCCTCCCTCTTCACATGGCTTCTCCCTTCTTCTCTGTCCCCAGTCTCCCTCTGTATCTCCTTATAAAGACACCTGTCACTGGATTTAGGACCCACCTCCAGTCCTGATGATTTCGTCTCCCGATCCTTAACTTAATCACATCTACAAAGACTTTCCCCTACAAAGATCACACTCACAGATTCTGAGGATTGGGACATGGACATATCTTTCGGAAGGGGTGGACACTAAGCAACCCACTGAAGACAGAAACTAAGGTAGAAAGAAGTGTTCCCGGCTCCTGCCCTGGCCGGTCTCCAGCCCATAACTTCAGACCTTCTGAGAAGGAACATGTCTGACAGTAAACCTTTCATACGCATGACCTAATTAAATCCTCACCACAACTCTATGTGGGAGATTCTACTATTATTCCCATTTTATGAGCGAGGAAACTGATCCCAGATTAAATGTAGGCAATGCCTTCTAGACCTCTACTCCTAATCCCCACCATTAGGATCCTTATTTAGTTTCTCCCATGGAAACAGGTGGCTGAGAAAAGCAGGTGTGCCAACATCCAGACGGTCGCCATGGTTTCCATTCCTCTTCTAGCTGGAGTAATAAGCACGCAAGTTACCTCAGAGCTGTAGGCATCTGAAGAACATAGAAGATGCATGGATGATTACAGAACCCAGTTTCCCAAGTGGTACTTGGACAAGCACATGGGGTGGGATTTTAATGGGCATAAAGCGCCTTTAATAAACGAAGCTCACCACCGATTATTCTGGTGCTTTCTTCCACATAAGTGCATGAATTATTACGAGAACACATTTGCAGCATTCACACTGTCGAAAGGGCTAATTAGAGCATCGTGCAACTTAGTAAAGCTTTGCCTGAGAAACTGGATCACTCAGAGATATTGGATATTCAGAGATAGTTGGCAGACCTGCAGTAAAGTAAGCAAACACAAGTAGCCCTCGTGTGCGAAGATGTAGGCGCTGGACTGTTTCCATTATTAAGGAAATTCTCACCCACCTTTCTCAGCTACCCTAACCCTCCTGATCCCTAAATCTAAGTGAGAGCCCCTGCAGGCAGAGGGCAGTTATCACGGGCTTTGTCTTTAATTTCAAACACATTTGTTCCACCTAATCTAGGACCTGAGCGTCCTGCAATCCAGCTGGGACCAAGAGGCTATTGTTTTTCCAGGGCTTAATAAGCCCTGTTCATTCAGTGGGGAGTTGCTGGGATAGAGACTCATTCCCAAATCTGTTACAACACATTACAAATATGTCAAGTATTCAAGATTTAGTTTGGTCTCAGAAACATCGTGAGGCACTCTTGACCTACATTTTTAAATAACCCTGGAGGTAAATAAATTCCACATTTTCTCAAGTATGTGAACAGAATGATAAAAGAATAATAGTCATGTAAGTAAATAAAAGAGCAAATTAATGTCATTTGCTTATTAAACTCTTAAGAATGAAAGACAGGTCATCTCTTTGAGGAAATTGGATATATAAAAATCCACACATCCTTCCCTGTCACCCTCCCACCACCCTGCATTCGGAAGCCATGATCCTTGGGCCCCTTTATACCTCACCATTACATTCCCTCTGACATTCTGTGGATGTCCCTTGAGCTCAGACCACTGCCACGCCTCCCTCAACCTGCACATCCTCCTACCTGGTCTCTTGGCTCTAGGACAGCCCACCCCCAGCCTGTTTTCTAGCCAGAGCTGCCCACTGAGTGGGCATGGAAGGGTTACAAGTGAGCTGACATAGTGAACCCCTCCATCCCTGGGTGGCCAGAAAGAGCCCCCTGCATTCACCCAGCTTGCTGCCACTCAAGCACTCCTTGTGTGTATGTGGGGAAGACAGAAGCACTGGGCTATCCAATGAGCATTACCCTTTCCTTGGTATCCCTGCCTCCCTCCTCAATCCCTGTGCTCCCCGGAGCACTTCTGATTGCATTCGGGGTCCAGTCCATCACACTTCATACCTGGGGTGCACTGTTGCCTTTGAGGTCTGTTTTTCTTTCCAGTGTGGGGTTTTGAGGGATCTTGTTACCTCTTCTTCTCTGGCTGAAGTATGACACTTAAGAGCCTCAGTAACTTGCCACAGAAAAGCCAGCTCACCCTGTGCCTAGTGGGATGGGGGTGAAGATGATTCCACCTGCCTTTGTGGTGAGCTCTGACAAGGGGTCTTGCAAAACACGGCCAGATACAGTGACATCACCAGCTCTAAACCCGAATGGCACTCAGCACCTGCTTAGCAAATGAGGAAGCCAACTAACTGCTCTGTGTTTCTTTGCAGGTGACCTCATACATTTGCCTCCATACCTTAGAATGGACTTTTTGTTAAACCGAAGCAGTGCAGGCACCAGCAGGGACCTGAGTTTAGGGCAAGCGTGCTTGGAACCTCAGAAAAGTCGGACCCTGAAGCGCCCCACGGTCCTTGAGCCAATCCCCATGGAGGCCTCCTCTTCCACGTCCTCCACGAGAGAGGGACAGCAGTGGCAGCAGGGGGCCGTGGCCACATTACCTCAGCGAGAGGGAGCAGAGCTGGGACAGGCAGCTAAGATGAGCAGCTCCCAAGAATCGCTGCTCGACTCTCGGGGCCATTTGAAAGGAAACAATCCCTACGCAAAATCCTACACCCTGGTATAACAAACAGCATGACTGGACAGCAGTTGTAAATACAATTTAAAAAATTCAATCAAAGCTACCTTTTTTTTACGGAATTCCAATATTTATAATTAAAGAAAATTGCCAAAATATATTAAAAAAAAAAAAGAGAAAATACTGAAACCACAGACAGTGCAAAGACTCTCCTGCTTTTTTTCTGTCTGAGTGTGAGCTCCATCTGCCTGGGCATCTGATTTTTTGGGAAAGAAGTCCAGTTTTATGATCTTCACAGGTTATTGCATTTTTACTGATTTTCTACAAAGTGCATGGGGGACTAATTAAACCTTCTGACTGGAAGTTCTATCACACAAGATTTAAGAACGAAAATGGGGAAAAAAATTACCCTCTTTGTGAATTTAAAAGGAACACTGATTTGGGGGCAGGGGGGGAGACTTTAGTCATGTTTGCACACCTTTCTTTCCCATTAGAAACTGGGTCCTCAATTTGACCTCGTTCTGTTGTGAATTAGGATGAGTGCTGTCAGTGAAGGGGTGGGGGGGAATCAATTTGATTTTCTTTTCTGTTTATTTTTTAATTTAATGAGACACTCTTTGCATTTTGTCTAAGCGAAATAAAAAAGAAAAGGTGGTCTGCCTTTATTTCGATGTCTACCTCCCTTGTCTCCTACTGATTGCTGGGTCCTCCTTCCTCTTGATACTTGTGTTTGCAACCACCAGGGCTGAACCCAGAGCCCGATTCAATAAACCAGAGAGGAAACCAACACTCCGAGCTCCTCAGGAATGGCTGGGAAGAGCACAGATGCTGCAGCTGATCCCAACCATAACCAGGGGCTGGCCAGGTACTCTAAGCCTCCCAGATGTTCTGCTCCTTCCTTGCCTCTCCGTAACACCTCGCCCTCTAGCTAGACCAGGGATCAGCAAACCATGGCCTGTGGGCCAAATCCAGCCCCCTGCTACTTTTATAAAGAACATTTTATTGGAACACAGCCATGCATACCATTTGCATTTTGTCTATGGCTATCCTGTGTCACGATGGCAGAGTTGAATAGTTACAAGAGAAATGGTATGGCCTACAAAGCAGAAAATATTTACCATCTGGCCCGATACAGAAAGTTTGCAGACCCCTACTCTAGAGTCCCACCATTAGCACCAGCTTACTGGAGAAAGGAAGAGAGGACTGGGGAATTCCATGCACCCTACCCTCCAAGACTTGCCCTGTCACTGCCATGACCAGTATCTAAGTTTGCAATAGACCATCTTAGTATATGTTGCCTCTGGTTCACTCCTCTGTACCCAGAGGAAAACCAACCAACCAGTAGTGAGTGATGTTCCTCTGAAATCTTTTTCTTCTTCTTCCTCCAAGTGTAAATGATTTACCATGTGGCTCAATCTACAGGGAACTTACTCTTAAGTACTCTGAACTGCATTCTTCATCCCATGACCTTTACACAGTGTGCTTAGGAAAGAGCACCTCATCTTCCCATGGCACCCTCACCCCAGACTTTAAGTCTCCACGACAGAAGTTTGGAACTGACCAGAAAACTTGAACAAATGCCCATGGTAGCTCAGTTGCCCAGGTAACAGACTACACAAGTACCTTCCTCTCTCTTAATATTCTCCGCTGGCTCTCATTTAAGCCACCAGCATAGACTCGTGCCAGTTATTACCATCTGGGAACATGTTCAGAAATGTATTTCCTGTCTTCCTTCTTCCATCCCTCTCTCCCTCCCTCCCTCCGTCCTGCCTCCCCTTTTCCATCAATTGCTTCCTTCCATTTATTTTCCAGGCAGGCACATTTGCCTACATAGATGCAGTGACACTGAGCACCTGCAGAACACGTCCGGGACTCGGTCAAGACCACCTGCTGTCAGGAACATTAGATGACTATGTTTGTGAAGTGTGTGTGTGTGTGTGTGTTTTCTTGCCATGGTTTCAGAATTTGATCTGTGTCAACAGCTCACGGTCTGCACCCTCACAGACCCTCACAGACTGCTTTTGTATGCAAAAGAAATTAAATGCTACTTCCTGGGGAAAAATTAAAACTATCTTTCATCAATTTAAAACTTCTATATTCCCCAAACCTAGAAGTTCACCATTTTTTTTCTTTTTCTCTCAAGCTGTGCAAAAATAAAAACTCTGCATCATGCCTGCCTCTGTAATGGATTACTTTCAATAATCCTGCCTTTATGATGTTTGTTAAAATGGGTTTGACACACAAGCTTTGTGTCAAAAAGCCAGTTCCCTACCTCTCAGGAAGAGTTCCACTATTGATGATCACAAAGAGATCCAGATCCATAGATTAAAAGGGGCACTGTGTAGTAAAACAACCATTATTGGGTGATAAGAATTAATTTTCCTCCAGACCTCTGCCTGTCTTTAACCTGATTTATAATGTCTTTGAGAGGTCATCTTGTTAGGCTAAGTCTGAAACCAGACTGATGTACCTTAGAGCACTGGAACTCTGATAAGTTCTTTATCCTCTGCCAAAAGCTAGAGGGTCAATGAACAAAGGCCATTGGGTCAATGGAGAATAGCCATTGGGTCAATGGAGAATAGCTATAGGGTCAATGCATGATGGCTCTTGGTTAATGGAGAATAGGTATAGAGTCAATGGACAATAGCTATTGGGTCAATGGGCTGGGTTTCCTCTAAGGCATCCATCCAGCTGAAAGTCTGAAAAATGCCTACTTTCCTGAAGTGAGCAAAGCGTTCTCATAATACATCAGCAGTAAACCACATAGCCGTCACTGCACATACATCTACAGGAACCCTAGTGCCTCCATTCAGTTCACATGTCTGCCTGTTAACTTTCTTGCATCTAAATCTGCCATGACCACCCACGAGGAGAAGGGGGGGGAGAAGTGGAGGTAGGGAAAGATGGAGGAGTGAAATTATACAAAGATTATCATAGGTGAGACTGGATAAGCTCTCATCCCATCGTCTCTGTGCCCTTGCCACAGAGAATCTTGATAATACTTTAAGACACAGAAAACATATCATTGTTTCAATTGTTCTTAAAATAAGCAGGAGATCACACTCAGTTAAGGTTCCTCTGGTCTGGGAACTTGGTCCTCCGTAGGCCAAAACTTCATGTGATTTTTAAGGAAATGACTGAGGCCTAGTTGTGAACTCTATAAATCTATTTCTAGTAAAGGTAGAGAGCCTTCAGGGTCTAGGATTGGAAATCCAAGGACTAGATGATTAGACTAGTCACCTACCCTGGAAAGTTCAATGGGAGCTGATGGTATGTCCATGTTCAAAAGTATTCCTCAATTGCCTAAAGAATGTGGCCTGGAGAGTATCATTAGCTCTCTGAAGGTCACTTGGGAAGATTAAGTATCAACAATTTAATAATATCCAGGGGTCCTGAGCCCCATGTTACTCTTCCACCCATTGGCTCTAAGTGACCTGTCAAACAACAGGGCCAGAGGAATGAAGCTGGAGTGAAGGAATGGCTTTCTTCAGCTCTTAGAAACCAAGCTGTTGCAATCTTAATAAGGACATAAGTCAAGGAATCTTCAGGTTTATGTAGAACGATGTCTGTTTGTTCTTGTATGTTGTTTATTTGAGAAGATTCGTGGTGGTAGAGCTCTTGAGCTCTTAGCAGGACTATCTGAGCCTGCCAGGCCAGGACTAAGATGGAGTTAGATGGTAACTATGAACAGAGTCCTGGCTGAGCCCTTTTCCCCTCTGCAAATTGGGACTGAATACTGGGAGGACCTCAGTGTTAGCTGGGTCACTCAAATGTCACTAGGCATGGAAGTGGGGAATAACTGTTGAGAAACAATCCTTCATGAGTCCCTTGCACTTGTGCATGTCTTCTGAGCGGAGGCATTAATAGATTCTGTTTTGACTCTCTTCTCAAGGATGTCTGCCTAACGAGTAGCTTTGGAAGATAGACCTATGTCTCCCTGCTGGGCAAAAGGCAGATCTACTTGCTGACTGAGATAACAAAAACAATGTCTCCCTCCAAGGCAAAATTTGGCAGGTTTGCCAGCAACCCCCTTTTTTAAGTTTGGAGCTTCATAGGCATTAGACACAGGCATTCACATCCTCCAGGTTCCCTGCCTGTCTACATGATCTCAGGCAGGTTCCCTTGTGTTCTTCCGTCTTCACTCCAATTTCATCTTCTCAGTTGAAGCCTTCTCTGAACACCCTATTTCATACTGCATCCAGCCCCCTCCCAGCATTCCTGCCCCCACATCTTCTGCAGCTCTCAATCCATACCCTTCTCTTCTTCTGACTTACTATGTAATTTACTAATTTATAATGATAATTTTTCACTATCTGTCTTTTCCAACAAGAAGTTCAGCTGCACAAAAACAGAACTCCATTTTTCTCATTGTGTCCTCCTTTCCTAAGTCAGGCACCTGGTCATAGTAGGCATCCTATAAATATTTGTTGAAATGGAAAATATGTTTGGTGTTTCTTAATTTCATGGTTCGTAAGCTGTGACACAAACCTACTGTGTGCACAAAGTCTCCCTGGCTCTTCTGCATCACCCAGTGGGCCTTGAGGGCACAAAGGAACTGATGGGAGCATGGCACTCATGCCAATCACTCTGCTGGGAGTAATACCACAACTGAGTCTCTGACTTAGGAGACTCTTGTCCTCTTCCAGCACCCATGGAACTGTGGCAGACCAACCTATTAGCTTTGGAGTATAAATCTGAGACCCTCTACAGATCCTGACAATGGTGAACTAGATGTGGGGAACACTAGCCCCCTCCTCCACTCTCTAACAGGACTCCTGCAGCTTCGACTTCTGGGTGTAATCCACTCACAGACTTTTTGCAATTTGTTGGGAATGTTGTTGTTATTGTTGTTTTACTTTTCTCAATCTCTCACTTTCAGAAAGGGGAAAAGCTGAGAAAAAGTGACTTTGAGCACATGGCAAGGAGTGTCTGTTTCATCTCCCAAGACAAGCTTGGCAAAGCTGTAAAGCTCTTTGTGTTCCAGAAACTTCAAGCCAACTGTAAGAAGAAAAGGCAATGTTTATTGTCACTGGCATTGTGCCTCCCCGGAGAGGGTTGTGTTCTGCTTCAAAGAAATAATCCTTCTCTGGAGAGAAAAACAACTGAGATATACATTCATGTGTGTAATGAAGGGAAGGTGCTCGGAAATGTCCTTGAGTCAGGAGGACCCAGGGCCAAACTACCACAGAGGGTGTTACCCATGACCACCTAGGCATCACAGTCGGGGGTGGGAGGCAACATTTCCAATCATGCTGTGTGCGGGCACAAAGTCATGCTCTCAAAGAGTTAATTCAGTGTTTGCCTTAATCTCTCATTCTCTGAGGTTCCCCTAAGGGCTGAATGCCTCAATAAAGAGAGGAGACCTCCTCTTGCCACTCCATGAAAAAATATTTGGCGATCTATTAAAAAGATGCTTCCCGTTTCCAGATCCAAAATTTTAAGTGTTTTACAGAGGTTCAACTTCTGAGATGGAGCAATAATGCTTGCTGATCTAGCACTCAACCTTAGGTATGTGGGAGAAAATGACCCTTGACCTGAGGGAGAGCACAATCTTCCATGCAACCACTGTGCCCACACTCATAGTAACACACAAATGAAACACGTCCCACCCACCACATCAGCAACCCTCCAACATCTATGTTCCCATCAAGGTGGGAGTTTGCTCTGTCATTGACAAGGAAGGTAACCTGATGACAGACCAAAAAGATGTACTCTGCACATGCAGAGCAAAGCACAAGCCTGGTAAAGATGTCCTGTTATCCCAACACTACCTATTTTTCTGACTGGCCATATGACAAGAGAACACACCTGTTCCGTTGAAACTTCCACTTATCTTCCTTCATGATCTTCAGAATAGTGGACCTCGGTGAAGACATTCAACCCAATCATGTGGCAAGAGTTAACCTTCAACACTGAGGAGATGATGGTTTCGTTAAGAGTAGTTAAAAGTCTTTTGTATCAAACCAAGCATAATGAAGATACTTCCAATAAGGGTTATCAGAGCAA